ATTTGTCCATAATGGGCATGGTATTGACACAGCTCCAAATGATCTACACTTGCTCACAATTGATATGATCCAGAAATATTTAGACAAAATAAAGATGAATAAAGCACCTGGATCGGATGGCATACACCCACGGGTCCTTAAAGAATTGAGCTCTGTCCTTTCAAAGCCATTGTTTCTAATTTTTAGGGACTCTTTAATGACTGGCATAGTACTACTGGATTGGCGTAAGGCCAATGTGGTGCTAATATTTAAAAAGGGATCAAAATCTTTACCAAGAAATTATAGACCTGTTAGTTTAACTTATATCGTTGGGAAGATACCGGAGAGTTAAAAAAAAAGACCACATAGATGAGTTCTTGCTGGAAAAAAAAATTTAAGCAAGAGAGAATGGAAAGACAGAAGTTGTCAAACAAATCTGATTTCTTTTTATGAGGAGGTGAGCAAAACCTTGGACAGAGGGGTGGCTGTGGACATGGTATACTTGGATTTTGCAAAAGCGTTTGACACAGTTCCCCACACACGGCTAATGTGTAAGGTAAAGTCTACAGGCTTGGAAAAATCATTATGTAAATAGAAAACTGGCTAAAAGATCGTATTCAGAGAGTAGTGGTTAATGATTCATATTCTGAATGGTCTGGGGTTGTCAGTGGTGTACCCCAAGATTCAGTGTTGGGACCCTTACTTTTTAATATATTTATAAATGATATAGGGTCTGGAATTAAAAATCCCATTTCAGTCTTTGCAGATGACACCAAGCTGTGCAGTGGAATAATGTCCTTACAGGATGTCTCCAACTTACAAGCTGACCTCAATGCACTGTTTAATTGGGCAACTATGTGGCAAATGAGGTTTAATGTTGATAAATGTAAGGTTATGCACTTGGGGGCTAAGAATATGCATGCTTCATACATACTAGGGGGGGGTACTTACTGGGGGGGGGGTACAACTGGGGGAAATCAATGGTGGAGAAGGATCTGGGAGTTCTAGTAGATAACAAGCTTAATAATGGCATGCAACGCTAAGCTGCAATTTCTAAAGCGAGCAAAATCCTCTCTTGTATTAACCACTTGCCCTCCTGAGGATTTACCCCCCCCCCCCCCCCCCCCCTTCCTGACCAGGCCATTTTTTTGCATCACGGCGCTGCGTTATTTTAACTGACAATTGCGTGGTGCAGCCATATGAAAACTTACGTCCTTTTTTCACCATGATTTGAGCTTTCAGTGGTATTTGATTGCCTGTGCATTTTTTATTTTTTGTGCTTAAAAAAAAAAAAACAGTACTTTTTACTTTTTGCTATTAAACATGTCCAGTAAAAAATTTTTAAGAAATCAAATTTCATCATAAATTTAGGCCAATATGTATTTTGCTACATGTCTTTGCTAGGAAAAAAAAAAAAAAAAAAAAAAAAAAAAAAAAAAAAAAAAAAAAAAAAAAAAAAAAAAAAAAATCGCAATATGTGTAAATTCATTGGTTTACGTGAAAGTTGCAGCGCTTACAAATGGCGGTATATATACTGGAATTTTTTTTTTTTTTTTTATTAGTAATGGCAGCAATCAGTGACTTATAGCGGGACTGTGGCGGACGTTCTGACACTGGGGAACTGACTTGGTGTCACTGACATTCCCAATGACACCAATACAGTGATCAGTGATTTAAAAGAAAAAAAAAAAACAAACACTGCCACTGTACTAATGGCACTGGGCAGGAAGGGATTAACATGAGGGGCAATCAAAGGGTTAACTGTGTGCTGGAAGTGTTTTACTAGGGGGCGGTGTGTTGGTGCTTCACTGCAAGCACACTGCTCTGGATAGCTGTGCTGTGCTGTGCTCGCGCCCCCTCCCCGAAAGTACAAAATTGCGTATATATACTATTATTATTATTATACAGGATTTGTATAGCACCAACAGTTTGCTCAGCGCTTATATACGTGATTTTGAGCACCGCTGTAGCAGTATTTCTGCTATAGGATGGCAGGGAAGCGGTTAAAAGAGGTATAGACTCCAGAGAGAGAGAGAGATATCATTTTACCCCTGTACAAATCATTAGGAACACCTCATCTGGAATATGCAGCTCAATTTTGGGCACCAATTCACAAAAGGAATATTGGGGAACTGGAGAAAGTTATGAGGAAAGATTAGAGGAACTGAACTGATTCTCTCTTGAGAAGAAGAGATTAAGGGGGCATATGATCAACATGTATAAATACATCACAGGTCATCACAGAGGACAAGGGGACACTCTTTACAAAAAAGAAATTTAATCTCCAAATATGGAAAGGTTTCTTCACAGTAAGAGCTGTGAAAACGTGAAATGGGCTCCCTCAAGAGTTGGTTCTGGCCAGCTCAGTGGAATACTTTAAAAAAAAAAAAGGCCTGGATTGTTTCTTAGATACACAGAATATAACTGGTTACTAACATTTTCAGGTAAAGTTGATCCAGGGAATATTCGATTGCCTCTCGGGGGATCAGGAAGGAATTTTTTCCCCTGCAGGAGAGAATTGCATCATGCTTTACTGGTTTTTTTGCCTTCCTCTGGATCAACTGTGGGTATAGGATTATAACTTTTTTTTTTATGGTTGAATTGGATGGACTTTTGTCTTTTTTCAGCCAGAATATATATATATATATATATATATATATATATATATATATAAAAATCTCTATATCTTAGGGTTAGATTTTTTGGGAAGCAGCAAATTAAGGTTAGTGTGATCCACATCTGCCAGGAAGCCCATCTATAGAGGAATCCCGATTCTCCACAGCTTCCACTTCTTCCTCATATGCCTCATCGTTCTGCAAAAGGGAGAAGGCAAAGAGAATGCCCATGCTTGTGTTCCAGGCAAGCGAGAACTCCTGGGAACTGATCTCGTGGTCCAGATATAGCTTTGGAGAATTCCTCTCTTTGCCCAAAGGAAGTGGAGGATTGTGCCCCTGAAGCAGTGGAGGTACCAGATAGGGGCACAGTTTCAGAGCTAATCTGACCCACAGGGGGCCATTGCAGGACAAGAGTACCTCCCTACCTAAAAAGGGAATCGGGGAGCACCTCTGTTCTTCGGCCCACCCCTCTGTCTGCATGACGCCATGGCTTGCTGAAGGATGCAAAGCCTGAAACCCAGCAAAAAGTAGCCATTCACCTGAAAGGTGTGTTGGTTATGTCAGAACACTAAGGTGGCAGCACTTACAAGTTCCTCTGTACTTGCCGTGCTTCGATGGTAAGAAGTCAGTCACCAGATCACGCTGCAGGCCTCAGCAGGCCCAGACTCCATCCAATAGGCAGCCAAACCCTGCAGAGGCTCAGCTATCCTCAAAAAGAATCACTGCCCTGGACCTACTGGCCATAGTAACCAATAAAGTGAGAGTCCACCCCTGCCCAGACTTGTGAAGAACAGGCCTACGGAAGTAGGTACAAAGTGCCCCCCCCCCCCCCCCCCCAAAAAAAAAACCAGACTCGCAGAAGCATGCATCACTTTGGGACACTGGCAGCATAATCCATGTAGTAATCACTATTAACTCCTCTGTGTCCTGTGATATACAATTAGGAAATTCAAATTTAAAAACAACCGCCAGGTATATCATAAGGTCATGAAGGGAATGCCGGTCTAATGGTTACACAATCCCTCAATACATAATAATAGACAGATCACCATGAATATTAAGCAGAATTTTACAGAGATGGAATAAAATATCCTGGAATCAGTCAAATTCAGTTACTATGAGATGCACAAACCTCAAAGTAAAAAAACTTTACATTCCTTGACTAGGCCAAATTCCCCTTATTTGTGCTTCGCATGTTCTCCCTCTCTGACACTGCATGTCACAGTGGGAGAGTTTCAGCAATTATGTCAATCTTGAAAGCAGTGGGCAGGACTAGGTTTGGACAGGTGCTTACAACCACATTGGATACAAATGGAGAAACAGAAAAAGGGTGCACCGACCTAGTGCATTATCGTTTAAAATAATTTATTGAAGAAACAAAATAGGTATCATACTCACAATGAACATATTACACAGGCATGTCAAACTGAACAAGATGTATGACCCAAACAACATCTGAGTCCATATGATGGAACCCTGGATGACCAACTGGCTAACGCGTTTCGAGGACACAACCTCTTCCTCAGAGCCAGGTTGGCTCTGAGGAAGAGGTTGTGTCCTCGAAACGCATTAGACTCAGATGTTGTTTGGATCATACATCTTGTTCAGTTTGACATGCCTGTGTTAATATATCCATTGTGAGTATGATACCTATTTTGTTTCTTCAATAAATTATTTTAAACAATAATGCACTAGGTCGGTGCGCCCTTTTTCTGTTTCTCCATTTGTATCCAGTGTATTTGGACCACCCTGGTCTGTTGAGGGCAGCAAGCAGTGCATATTCCAGAAAATTCCAGAACATTCCTAATGGGTCTACCGAGTCCTTTCCTAGCGCAGGAGTAAAGTGTTTGTTGTGTTGGCTTATAACCACATCCCTGCAACATTTTCACAACCCATTGTAGTGCAAGGGGGCTCAGACTAAACGAGTGGCAACTCTGCTTTGAATTCAGGAGCAGTGCATCGTTGTCACACCATTACAAGAACCTATACTACATGGACTTGACTAGCAGGATTTATGTGACTTTGAAGGGGGACTAAGACAACTGTAAGTACATATTCACTTGTAATTAATAATGTTTTATATTTTGTAAGGGAGGGCATACTTCTACTTTAAAGTGCCTTTTTTTACCCAGGCTAAGGCCTCACTCTTGTAATGCTTACTATTTTTATTTAATACAAGATGCCACCTTCATATAGCACACACAACACAGTGATTCTACAGGGTCAATAAATCAAACATACAACCCAAAACACTGGCACAGGCCATCTCTTATTTCATTAAGGCACATATGTCTGCCAACACTGCAGCCACCAATATAACCTACATAGTCCAACATGGCTGACAAAGGCACGCTTCCTGCAACATGCCATTTTCCGCTGGAGTTGTACCCAGGCCCCTATTTATACCTGGAGGAGTAATATTCCTCTTCCAGCTCATAAAGATCAATGGCAATCTCGTCCCGCAGAGAAATGAGCTTTTTGTCGCATTCATCCTGGAGTGTTCGCAGCTGTTGGTTCCTTTGATTGATGGCCTCATTCACAGAGGGAAAATCATTCAGAATGAGGTACTGTTTCAAATCAGAGACCAGCCTCATGAGAGATTCACCTGCACGCACCTAGAACACATGAGAAGAACAGCGATTGGTGCATCTACCAACAACACTTTTCAGAATGGTAAACTGGTGATCCCAAAAAGGTAAAGGTGAGGTTACCTACAAAACATGCCCTATGGACAAGCTACCCCTTCCAACTACCTGAAGAGAAGGAACTAAATGGTGGCTGCATTGGATGTAATTTATAGTCTGCACATCAGCGACTGAGAACAGAAAATTATAAATGGAAAATGGTAGTGACTTTACCACTCTGTACCCCCTCAGAAAAAGATGTTGTGGTGCAAAAGGATACAGGAGGGACGTATTTCTGCTGTGCTCAGCAGACTTCCTCCAGGAAACTATATTCTCTGACAATACATAAAAAAATGGAAAATGACAGCTCAGGAAAACAAACAGTGGGGGGGATTTACTAAAACTGGTGTGCTGCTCAGAATCTGATACAGCTGTGCATGGTAGCCAATCAACTTCAATTAAGCTTTGACAATAAAACTTAAAAGATTTCTATGCAGAGCTTAACCTAATTTTGCGCCATGAAAGGCATGGCACCTTTACTGGTTAAAGAGACACTGCAAGAAGATACTACAGAGATTGTGTAGGAGGCATCTTGTGTGAGAGGAGTATAGATACAGTGGTCCATGCAAAGACCTACCCAAGAAACATTTTACCCCATGACTGCACAGAGAACATTAGAGGTCAAACTGGTTATTCTGCTGTCCCTTTAGGAAAATGTAACTTGGAATAGTTTCTTATGTATAAAGCTGATTTGATCTGTAGAATCTCTTTGCTAATATTTCTAATAATGCAAATAACCCGGATTATCTACTCTATACTGAAAATTATGCAACCAATTTAAAATTACTTTCTGATGTATTTGTGCCAATAAAAGACATGAATTTATAGGCAGTCTCTGCAATGAAGATCTGCATATAGTACAGGATGTTGTGATGCAGTCTGATCATAGAATACTGTTTGGGTGGCACTGGAGGTATTTGATAGGCAATTATATGAAGTGCTGAATCCTATAAACTTCAGCAGTGGGACATCTGCAATCACTCGCCACCCTTGTCCGCCATGCTTACTATGTTAGCAGCTCGGACGTGCATCTCATAGTTATCCTGTTCTCCTTGAGTTGAGCGTGAGACTTGATGCTCTTCTTCAATCTGTAACATACAAAAATAAATACAGTTGAATTCTACATTTGTTTCAAAGCCCAACTATAACAGCTAAAATGTTTGTTATAGTTTTGGATGGAAGCCTTAGCCCACATTTTTATAGCTACCAGGTTTTCTGTCTCATGGACTACTGCCTGCAACACATGAAATGAGCATTTACTAATTTGCCAATTATTGATATGCTACTTAATATGTGCTTGGAGGCTACAACAATGTTTCCATCAAAACATACAGGTGCATCTCAATAAATTAGAATATCATCAAAAAAGTCCATTTATTTCAGTAATTCAATTCAATTCAAAAAAGTAAAACGATGCATTCATTCATGCAAAAGGAGCCCCAGCCAAGTATTGAGTGTATACCTTACTTTACATGGGCATACTTTTCAGTAAGTCAACATTTCTGTATTAAAAATCCTTTTTTTTTTTTTTTTTTTTTTTTTTTTATTGGTCTTATGTAAAATTCTAATTTTCTGAATTTTGGGTTTTCACTAGCTGTAAGCCATAATCATCAAAATGAAAAGATAGGAAATGCTTGAAATATATCACCCTGTGTGTAAAGAAGCTATATAATATGAGTTTTACTTTTTTAATTGAACTACTGAAACAAATTAACTTGTTTGTAATAGTCTAATTTATTGAGATGCACCTGTACATGCTTCGGGGCTCAGTGACTATTCGGCATCTGTAGCCATCAGCTCAAACTGTAAGTTAGTAAGCTGCTGCTAAAGTATTTGTATTTTTTAAATTTACACAGCTCTGGCACAACACAAAACCAGCCTGGTGACCCAATTTCTCTATTACAGATAATTAATACAAGTAATAAGTAATACAAATAATAGATATGTTCCCTGCCCCTGTTATTTCGAGGTAAAGGAGAAGCAGCAAACTGATGAGCTTCTCTCTCAACCATTTTCATCTCTCCTCCTGTTAGCGTTATTTTATAACACGTATATTTGAAAAAGAATTATATACAAGAAAATGTGAAATTCAATCAAGTCCAGGGTTTTGACAGTGCAAAGGTATTAATGTCTAAAGAATTCATGGATTCAGTATATTATGTCCAGGGATGTCCAATTTGTATCACCCGAGGGACATGTAGTTCTGGGCACCGGGCAGGTAGTTTTTTTTTTTTTTGCCTTTAGCACCTGTCAGGTGGAAGCATTCGGGCGACAGCACTGCTGCCTGATTGCTTCCACACAGCCCACAGTGCCAGCCACCGCTCTCCTGCCCGCTATATGTCCCGGGCTCCGCTTGCCCATCTGCGGGCCTGGGACCAGTTCGGTGGCTGACGGCGGGTATATGGGAGGGAAGAGAGCGAAAACATCCGCTCCCCTCCCCTTCTGTCTTGACCCGGAAGTGATGTGATGTCACTTCTGGGTTACCGTTGACAGATTTCCTGAGGATCGAGGTTGGGAAAGAATGTAATGCAGTGTGATGTGCACTGCATTACAGTCAGTGGAGCACAGGGGAGACATCCAGGGTCTTTTAGAAAAAAAAAAAAAAGAACCGGTCACCAAACATTATCACATAGGGGACTTTGTCCCTTATGCGATGGAAGAAAAAGAAAAATTAAAAATATTTTTTTTTTCTTTAATTAAAAAAAAAAAAAAAAAATTAAAGTTACACCCAAGCATATAACCCCCCCCCCCCCAAATAAAAAAAAATTGGGCCCACAAATATGTACGCACATACAAACATAAAAGCACACATTGGGGCGCCTATGCAAGAAAATAATGATTGCGTTACACGTTATATATCACTGCGCACGCCAGAATGAGAGCAATAATTTTAGCACCAGACCTCCTCCATAACGCTAAACTGATGACCTATAAGGGGTTTTAAAAGCATCACCTATAGAAAATATAGGGTAGTGAAGTTCATCGCCATTTCACCAGTGCACGCAAGTTTAAGGTTTGACATGTTGGATATTTATTCGATGAAACCTCATCTTTTATATTTTACCAAAAAATTGGATTTTTGTGTAATGTATTGCTTTTTGTAACCTAAAATTAACTTGAGTGTATTTTTTTACAAAACTTTTGCGTTTCCTAGACCTTTGTGATAATATTGTGTGACATAAAAAATTGGAACTACCGCTATTTTATTCTCTAGGGTCTCTGACTTCAAAAATATATCATGTTTTGGAGTTTTGTGTAATCTTCAAGCCTTAAATGATTTTTTTTAAACATGTGCAAAAACCACACAGACGGCTCTGACAGCAAAAGGAATAAAGAACAAGCCCGACATGCCCGTTTCCTGACAAGCACCCAATCAGCGCTCATTACACTGTAAGGTCTCCCCCCCACCCCCCCTTCCCTGCTAGTCCCCGGGTGCGGTGCTGGAGACAGGCAGGGAGAGAAGGAAGAGATAAAATGCGCAATGTTACGTATATTAAATGTTTAAGTCGCCATAAAGCTCTTTTTTTTTTTTTAAAGCCAAAGACATTACTTAAAGCAGATTTAAATATGGTTTTGGTTGAAATTTATGTACTTATTTTTTATCAGGACAAGTAGATTGTCATGAGGGACAAGTAGATTGGGGCACCAATTTAGTCCCTGGACAAGTAGTTTTTTCAAAAATTTCAACACCCCTGATGTCATAAACAGTACAGTGTGTACCAACTAACTACTAAGTCAGTAAAGAAAAAACAAGGTAATATTGGGCATGCATTGTCATTAACCGCTCCAACACTAACGGATGTACCTCTATGTCCTCTAGTTAATGCAGGGATACCAGGTTCATGGCTGCAGCCATGAACCCGCTATCAGTGTTTTCAGCAGGCGATGCCAAACACTGTAAAAGCAATCCGAGCAACTAAATAGTCTCTGGATTGCTTTTACAGGCGATGGAAGGTAGTCAACCCCAGATCTCTCCATAAAGAGGACCTTTCACAGCCCATAGTATCACAAGGGATGCTGCTCAACCCTTGCGATAGCAAAGTTAATAAAAACATTTTTTTTAAAGAGACCATGTAAAAACAACCCCCCCAAAAAAAAAACAAAAATGGCTAACCGCCTCAAGTAGGAGGTACACTGGCAAGGCGGCCTTTCTGCGCTGAATCATGTACCCGATATATGATCCAGCACCTGCTGTGCTGTGATTAGTTTTTCTTCCTCAGGCAGCTAGTATTGCCCCAGTGCTGACAGAGATGGGAGAAGAAAACTAATGATGATTTGCAGGCTCCCAAAGTGTTTCATATCAACTAATAATGTCATTGGTTGTTAGAATGTCAGTGGCTGGCCCGCACAGTGCCCAAGGTTGTTAATGCTGCAAAATAAAAACCAGTGGCTTTCGGTAGCCAAAAAAGGCAGTCTTGAGCCATCCACTGGCTTGTTGAAAATGCCTACTGATAATGCCTGGCAATTTTAGATATTTAGTCACAGCATCCCTGAAGAACCCAGATGAGACGCCATAGTTGAAAAAAAGTTGTAATAGACTATGAAAGTATCTCAGTTGAAAAAGTTTGTGCCTAGCAGAAATAACTATCAAAATAGGAGTTAAAAAATGTCTGCCAATCTTGGTCAGAGATATGAGGAATATCTTTATTCTGGTGTTCCTTTACTTTAGTTAGATTGGATGGTCCAAAGATTAAGCTGGTATGGACTGTCTGGAGAAATGTACTCCCCAGCTTGGGGGTCTGAAAGTTAATTCAGGTATTAGAAATGCCCAGTTCCTGCTTCAACCAAAGAAAAGATTTAAAGGCTAAGTCCACTTTATTAAAAAAAAAAAAAAAAAAAAAAAAAAAAAAAAAAAAAAAAAAAAACACCACACAACAATAAATGCACATATCTTTGCAGGAAAAAAAAATTACATTTATTACTAATTAGTCACAGGAGCCTGCACAGCATTGCACCTGCAGTCAGTGGATCGTGGGTGTAATGCCAGGCTCCTCTAGCTCTCTATCCGTACCAATGTGTGGGCTATCAGAGAGCTGGAGGAATTGTCAATGGACTACGAGTGCAGTGATCACACTTGTATTCCATTGAGGACTACAAGTCTGTCTGCCACATTGGCTCACAGGTCTGCAAATGGATGATGCAGCTGTGCAGACACTGTCATGGGGAAAGGTATGGAGGTGATGTTGCGGTATGGGCTGTCCCACGTTACATGCTAAATAAGGGTTTAAAAACATAGTGCAAATGATGGAGGCTCCAACCAGCATGTTAAATGTTAGCACATGAAAACCACAGCACATCTGACTGGTTTTGATTGCTGTGCATTTCTCTCTGAGATTGAGCTCTACTGCACATGGGATGGCAAGAGGATGCAGTCAAGTCAAATTCAAATACTTGCACTAGTTGCTTTTAAAAAAATACAGCAAATGATTTTGTTATTGAACACATACCTGCATAAACTGGTGTTTTCTTATCTGCCTGGAGTTCCGCTTTATCATTTATTTATAGTTAAACACTCACCCGGGCAGTTTTGATGATCTCGGTGAAATTGTCCATGATGGACTTAATATCATCTTTCAGCCGCTTGTTGTAGGACTGGAGCAAAGTTTCCTTACTCTGAGGTAATGCCCGCTGCTGAGACATGATGTCACTGGAGGAGTGGAGAAGAGCGTTATGACATCAAACATAAACATGCCCCAGGCCTATCACAGGAGTTGAACAAAAACCAGACGTCTCAGGAACCCATACAAAGTCCCGAGAAGGGGGTGGCAATGGTATGAAGCCCAATGGTGGCATATATTTATGTATACAAACAGTGTGTGTGTACCACCAATACTGAGGCATTTTATCCTTCTACTCATCACCCACACTGGAGCATTTTATCATCCAACTGAATCCAGGGAAGAAGAAATTCTTACTACTGACACCGGGGTATTTTTGTTTCTCCCCCTGCCCATAAACTCCATTGCATTCTTACCTGTTACGTCTCTAAACAAATCAATAGAGCATTTCCCTGCAAGAGAAAAAGTAAAATACTCAGCTCCCTGTCAACCCATGAATCCTACTGTCAAAAATGGACTCCCCAATAGTGGTGGGACTCACCTGCCTTGTGGGTTGCAGTACCAGGACTGGCCAGCAGGCTGGGCACCGGGCAGAGGCACATCAGGCTGGGCACCGGACAGAGGCACATCTGTCCGGTGCCCAGCCTGATGTGCCTCTGCCTGGGGCCCAGCCTGATGTGCCTCTGCCCGGTGCCCAGCCTGATGTGCCTCTGCCCGGTGCCCAGCCTGCTGGCCAGTCCTGGTACTGCAACCCACAAGGCAGGTGAGTCCCACCACTATTGGCGAGTCCATTCCTGACACCTACCTCCCCTCCTTCAGTCCCTTCTGCATTCAATACACTGGGAAAGTCCAATATCCATGTCCCCAGCCACGCATTAGTGCCTCCAACTCCTATAATGAACAATACTACCTCTTCTCTTACAGAGAACTGGCCTTTTGATTCAGAGACCTGACAGGATCTTTAAAATGGAACTTTAGTCAGAAAATGAAGTCCTACTAGATCACTTTTGCAGGTATAGTTATGTAAAACAAGAAAAATAAGAGCCTATACTGTTTTAAATCCAGTAATACATGGTCTCACCCTGCTCTGCACATGCTCAGTTGCTCTATTTTTAGTCACTGTACCACATTTGTGGAAGCTGATCTGCTGACAGCCCAAAGATGTAATGTAGAACTCAAAACTTTTTTTCCCATTTTGAACAGCGTAATGGAGGGTTATAAGCCCTAGAAGTTTATTTTTTGCCATCTGTGTCCCATTGGGGGGCTTTAACATCATTTCCTGTCCCATAGCCAAACCAGGGAATTCCCTGAACCCCACGGTCACCAGAACTAGTGTCCCCATTGCACAATTCCCCCTCTTACTTTTCTGGGAAGAACACAAAATTTTGGATTTTCTTTACGTTCACTTTTGATGATAATCTTACACAGGACAAATAGAGAGGGTGAATCTCCCTAATGGGGCACAGAAAGCAATCAAAACCTGACAGGGGTTCGAATCCATCTCCACTTGGGTTTTCTGCCAAAACACTGCTTCTCCTGGACGCACTGGCCCTGGGTTTATTTCCCTGCCTGTAAACACTCCTGCCACTAAAAGCTTCTAAAATTCTATGTATGCATGGATACATAGGATAACATGGACGTGCACACACGTGTGCGGAGTGAGGACACCACATGTAATTTGCACAGGAATCACACCGTAATCCTGTGAAATCACATCCAATGTCTGTGTAGTGCGATTTGAGCCAAACATTTTGTATGGCTCAAGTCGCATTGCATCAAAAAGCTGCAGGCCCCTTCTTTTAAACCGTACCTGATTCACATTGCATGGGTGGTCACACCCCAGTGAGGTAAACGCACTGCATTTTGCAATCTGTTTTGGGGTGTAGTTAAATTAACACCCGCATCAGATCGCATTGACACTATGCAATTGCAATGAGGTGCGGGAAACACAGGATTTGCTGCATTTCCAGCACCGCATTAGTATTAACCAGATCTAAGGGCCAGTTCACACTATAGAAATGCAGTCCAGATGTGTTCAGATGCATTTCTGCATGTGTATTTTTGACGCATTCCAGTGCATTTTTTTTTTATTCATTCCAGTTTGTTTTTCCCAATTTTCTTCAATTTAAAACGGGACGTGTGTGTTCCAGTGCATTTTTGATGCGTTTTGGTGTGTTCCAGTGCGTTTATGCATTTTACTGCATTCCAGTACAGTTCTGTGCAGAACAAATGCAGCATGTTCTACTTTTATTCTGCACCCGGAACACGCTGGAACTACAAGCACTGATGTGAACTATGACATTGACAACCATATAACCGACTTTCTGTGCATTTTGGATGCAGAAAAAAAGCAACTGAACCGCATGCAGTGTGAACTGACCCTAACAGTGGCTGCAAAAACGCCCAGTGTGCTGAAGGCCCAGGTCTCTCTCTAGGTATGGGATTCTGGACTCTGGAAGCTGGGCTGTACACACAACAGATCTGCAAATGCACCTTAATAAACAAAAGGAGGAAAAGGGAATAAAGTTCCAATGTGACCAATAGGCGTCCAGAGCAGTGAGCCACCCTCCACCTACCACAAGCCAGCTCTGCAGCCTCACACCAGCCTAGGCTTCTATATAACACATCCCCCTATATCTACCACCCCACCGCCAACACACCTCTCCTATCCACTCCGTCCGTCGACCAGCAGCTCCGCGCTGACTGATTGCCTCACCGGAACAGGCGGGCCCCGCAGATCATATAGGCTAGTCGAAGCTGATTGTTGTAGCGGAGCCAATAGTTCTTCTGGGTGTGACGTCTGCGCTGCCAGACTCCCCGGACTGAGAGTAGCTTTGGTTTACTTGTCCGCCACCTGCCAGCAGATGGCGCTCTTTACCACACAGTGATAGTTCTTTTTCCTCATTCGCCGCTAGATGGTGCTCCTCCCTGTTATGTGGATGAAATCTCGCGTCATCCGGCGCAGGATACTTATATTACCCAGAATCCTCCCTTCTTCCTTTCTCTCCCCCATCCGCCATGGTGAGTGCTGTACGCCTTTGCGGCCTCTTATATCTGCCGCCATCCTCCGGCGATGTGCCCTGGCCGGAGCTCAGCCTTTGGCCGCTGTGTCCTGTATTGGTCTCCTCCACACTGCCGGGAATATGAGGCGGGGAGGGGGCTGTACAGTGCCGGCAATGAGTGATGATACCCGGCACTGTGCGGAGTACACCGGCGGGGGCTGTCTGCTCCGTACACTGTACTGTCCTCTGTCCCTTCATAGTGTGCTCTGTATAGCACGTGTCCTGTGCTCTGTGGCCTACTTCAGTGTATGATGGCTGCTGTGTGACGGTATGTGTGCTCAGGCCTTCTGATGTGTGATCTCGGGTATGTGCTCACTGAGCCGGTACATGTTACTGCTCTCTGTTATACTGTGTGCTGCCTACTACTGCATGTACTGCTCTCTGTATACTGTGTGCTGCCTCCCCTCCACACTGTTACTACAGGTATGTGTCTCCTATGCTGGCTGCTGTGTGACGGTGTGTGCTCAGGCCTTCTGATGTGTGTGATCTGTATACTGTATGTACTGCTCTCTATACTGTGTGCTACCTTCTCTCCTCCAGGGTTACTACAGGTATGTGTCTCCTATGCTGGCTGCTGTGTGATGGTATGTGCTCAGGCCTTCTGATGTGTGTGATCTGTATACTGTATGTACTGCTCTCTGTATACACTGTGTGCTGCCTCCCCTCCTCCACTTTGGCAGTATGTTTACTACTGGTATGTGTCTCCTGTGCTGGCTGCTGAACTTTGGCAGTATGTTTAGGCCTTTACTGCAGTGTCAGTATGCCCTGTATATGTGTGATGTGATCTGTATATTCTGTACAGTGATGTATGCTGGCTGCTGCAGTGTGACAGTATGTTTAGGCCCTGTTATGTGCCCTGTTCTGTGCTTAAACACTGCTGCCTCTCTCCTCCACACTGCAGTGTCAGCATGCCCTGTATATGCTGACTGCTGCAGTGTGACAGTATGTTCAGGCCCTCTGATGTGTGTGATCTGTATATTCTGTGCAGTGATGTATGCTGGCTGCTGCTGCTGCAGTGTGACAGTACGTTCAGGCCCTGTTCTGTGTCTCTATACATTGCTTCCTCTTTTTCTCCTCCACACTGCATTGTATATGCTGACTGCTGCAGTGTGACAGTATGTTCAGGCCCTCTGATGTGTGTGATGTGATCTGTATATTCTGTGCAGTGATGTATGCTGGCTGCTGCAGTGTGACAGTATGTTCAGGCCCTGTTCTGTGTCTCTATACATTGCTTCCTCTTTTCCTCCTCCACACTGTGCATTGTATGCATGCCTTGTATATGCTGACTGCTGCAGTGTGACAGTATGTTCGAGGCTCTCTGATGTGCAGTGTGACAGTATGTTCAGGCCCTGTTCTGTGTCTCTATACACTGCTGCCTCTCCTCCACACTGTGTAGTGTATGCATATCTTGTATATGCTGGTTGCTGCAGTGTGACAGTATGTTCAGGCTCTCTGATGTGCAGTGTCTGGATCACTTGCTGTTTCCCTGTATCTGTTCCTTACCACAGTGGTGTAAAAGATGAGTTAAGTTGTAGTTGTAGACTCTATACACAGCTGGGGGGGTTCTTATGTATGCACTTGTTGGGTAGGGATGAGTTGTTGACACCTTTAGATTCAGTGAGGGTCCATTTACATCATGGCTATAGATCAGCACAGGACAAGTGCCAGGAGACACACACAACAATTTTTATATACCCAGTAAATGCCATAATTCTGCATTGAGTTGCATTAAACGAACATGTGTGGGTTTTTTTTTTAGCACAACCCCCAGCACTGCATGTAACTGTAGCAGTAGTGCTTCAGCTTGAGTGAACGGTCATTTTGTGATGCGTCAAAAATTTTTAAACCAGAACAGTGACCTGTACAATACATTGCAATGATAAATCCCACCACCCCAAAAACACATTTTTGCACTCGAGCTGGTTTGAATGAGCCCTGAATGTTCGTGTGCAGATTAGGATGTCATGTTTTTATCTCCTGTCTATCTTCCTATGTGTTGGGTTCCTAAAGACGCAGATGA